TAGCCTCTCCAATGAAAATGCTTCTTCTGAGTCTTCAGACTTTCTTTACTCTTGTCAGTAGTCCTTCTCCATGACTTCTCTAAACTCCTTCCACACTGTTTTGATTTTGACTGTCAAAACCACAGCTCTTTCTAGCTTCCTGGCACCTATCTGCTTTTAAGCAGACCCAGAGGTCAACTAGAAAGAATGGCTGTGTCCCACATCTGTTCACATCTGCAAGGTTTTTGAACATGGCTCACTGCCCCCTCCTTATCCAAGGGTTAGGTTACGTCTGGAAGCCTTCCAGAGAGTTCTGAAGATAGTTACCCTGAACTGCACCCAGTCATGGACCACATATCAAGGTCTTGTTATCAAACACTCCCCAGTAAGCTCTGCTCTCAGGTCTACCTCCAGGAGGGGGCTTTAGTTTTTTATTTCAGGTCAAGGTATTCATAGCTCTCAGGGTCACTGGGAACATACAAACCTTTCCACCACATTGAGGTGGCTGGCAGTTGTGGAGTAATTCTGCGTGAAGTCACACTCCTCAAACAAACTCACATAAGCCTGAGTTAATAGTAGATGCCTTTGTTGTTTTTCTTTAGGATTTTGCAGACACAGAGTTGCTCCTCTCTCGAGGGAACGTTGACCAGAATGCATTGCAGGCATATGCCCGTGAGGCTGCAGACTTCTCCACCAATCACCAGCTGCCAACTCTGGACTTTGCCATGAATCACTATGGTCAGCCTGATGTTGCCATGTTCGACTTCACCTGCATGTATGCATCAGAGAACGCTGCTATGGTTCGCCAACGCCACGGACACCAGCTGCTGGTCACACTGGTTGGAGACAGCCTATTGGAGGTGAGACCGGTGGAGGTAAACAGGCTGCTGGAAGTGAGATACCTTGATTAATTACAGAGTCTTCCTGTCTTTTTGCAGCCCTTCTGGCCGATGGGGACGGGAGTCGCTCGAGGGTTTCTGGCAGCTCTGGATTCGGCTTGGATGATACGAAGTTGGGCTCAGGGCGCAGCTCCACTGGATGTCCTGGCTGAGAGGTGAAGACACACCTAGACAGGATACATCTGCTGTTCTCTCACACCTGGCCACATTATGTCTGTTTGTGTGTCTTTCCTACAGAGAGAGTTTGTACCGTCTCCTCCCTCAGACGACTCCAGAGAACATGCAAAAGAACATCACTCTGTTCTCTGTAGATCCAACAACAAGATACATGAACACCAGCCTTTTGACCATCACACCTGCCCAGGTAAACACAGAGAGGGAAGGGCGTTTTTGTCTCTGTTGATGATGTTTGGTTGGACTGAAGAATTTAAAGCTGAATCAATAAACAAGTAAGAGCTGCTCCTGTATGAAGGGATATTTTTTTTGTCTTCAGGTGAGGCACCTGGTTGACACAGGAGAAGAGGTGGGGCTAACCACAGACTGCAGTGATATCATCCGGCTCCCCTCCCCCAGATACCTCAGACAGGGTGGGATAACTTTACATAGAAGATGTTTTTTTGTTTTGTTTTTTTTAACTACAGTGTGATTGATGAATGTTAGAGTGAAGTTTTTTAGTTCACAGTCTGACCTGATGCCTCTCTGTCCCAACACTGTGCATGATTCTCAGCTTCTAAAAAAAAAAGAATATATAT